GTTAATTTACGTCGCACTAGAGCTGCACAATGGGCTATTGGCGACGGTCTGGGAAACATCCCTGAGGATGATCCGAAGACATGCCATCACAATTTTGATCCTCTGTAGAGGGGATGGTACTCCCACTTCAGTAGCCCGACGACCTGCACGCGAAGTCGAGCACTTTATGGTAGAGCAGTTTATCGAGGACTAATACCGCGCCCCCTCGGTCCCTACGCAGGCTGATCCAAGTGGTCACCGCACACTGACCGTAGCCAGTGCTGCTTGACTTCGGTGATTTGCTAAGAGCTCCCAGAATTTCCCTTCCTCTTGTTTATCAAATTTCCAAATCAGTACAGACCGTGAGATCTCTGTCGTTTATTTGGGTTCCAGCTCACACTTAAATAAAAGAAATTGAACGCGCAGACCAGTTTGCGAAACAAGCACCAAGCCGAAATTTCATTTCTCATTTTACATGATCTTAAGACCTCCACCAAGCCTTCCTTAACGAACAGCTCAATAAAGAACTCGTATGGAAGGATTACAATCCTTTCTCTGTTGCAATCTCTTCGTTCTCCTTGATGGATCTCAAGATCACCGCCCACTAATCAGCTCCCGAAATCTCTTCCGACAAATGCTATTGGCGATCGCAAAGCTCGAATGCGCCACCTGAGGAAAGACCGGTTTCATGCCTTCTCCCTTCCTGCTCCTCCTCTTTTCAGTTGTATAGGAATGCACTACGATATTTTTCCTTTTCTTAATACTTTTTCTTTTTATTTAATAAAAATATTTTTCGAAATTTCCGTGATACTTTTCTTTGGAACTATGTTTAATGCAGTTTTTAGTTCCATATAGTTTTCCGAGTTAGAAGATTTTAATCTATATGAAAATCAAGAGAAAAAATAACGTTCTTCCTTCCTCTATGACTCTCCACACGCTAAGGAGGAAAGCATGCAAAGTGTTGCCATAGGTAGAGATTTCTGCTCCTCGCCACCTGCAGCCCATTTCGATCGCCATTTTTACACAAGTGTAAATTGATATAAAACCTAAACTGCCGTACTGCGGATGTATCGACACAAACGATCACTTGCACCTGGAACGCCCCTGAAGGAACTGATCGTTAAGACACGGTTTCCTGCAGATCACCGAAGTCAAGCATTCAACTGGCTGCGGTCAGTGCGTGGATGGATGACCTCTTGTGTCAGCCTGCGTTGAGACCGAGGGTGGGCGGTATTGGTCCTCGTTAAACTGTTCTACCGTAAAGTGCCTGATTTAGAGTACAGGTCGTCGGGCTACCGAGGCGGAGGAGCCATCCCCTTTGCAGAGGATCAAAATTGTGATGGCATGTCTTCGGATCATCCTCAGGGATGTTTCCCAGACCCTCGCCAATTCGCGATCGCAACGAACTATAGGGGGAGTTGTTGTATGAGACGAATGCCTGCGATTTCTATATCAACAGTCATTCAGTTACTCTTGAGACGTCTTTAATGTAGCGTGCAGCATTGTAACGTTTCTACTTTATTGTGGCTTATTAAATTTAAAAAAGAAAAATGTTTGATATTCTTTCTTATACAAACGAAAACAAAATGGTATCTCTCTTTTCTTTTCTTTTTTTTAGAGAAGGAACATCCAAAACACATCGGAAAATATTTGTAAATAACCAGAAAAAAATATGTATCTTCTTATTAAAGTTAAAGCCCAATACCTGAGAAATAGTTTTACGAAATTTAATGATATAACATGAAAGGCCCATTTAAACTTTACATTCCATAGCTTTAAGAATCATATTACTTCAAAAATTAAAATGAACAAAAAGTAGGATATAAAGTCTCATAATTTTATATAATTTAATTTTGTAAACAAAGTTTTTTGACAACAATTTATATCAAAAATTTCAAGTTTCAATAAAAATCATTATTTAGAAACTAAAAAACGTAAAATAAGGAATGCTTTACGAAACAAACAAAAAAAAAGTATTTCTTTTTTGACGCCATTTTTTAGTGCTACGAAAATGCGTCTTTGGGACTCACCAAAAACAAAACAAGATGCAATTTTGTTTTTTCAGGAGCGAAATATTTTACCGAAAAAACGAAAATGTACCAATTCCCATAACATGAAACTTTATCTTAGTAAACGCACGTTTTGGAAATGTTATTTCATTTGGAATCTTATTTATTAGAGTTCATATGGCGACCAGGTGAAATAAAATAGAGATCGTTTTGAATCTATGCTAAACTCTATATGGGCCCATTTTCCACCGAAATCTGATTGACTACTTTGATTTTAAATAAAGCGTTTTATTTTATGATTTGTCTCAAAAATTTTAAGTGTAGATTGGCGGCACTTAAAAACCGCCAAATCTGTAGCTGCGGTGGCGTTATTACGTAAGTACCGAATTTTTATTCCATACTTTTCTGAATCATATTACTTCAAACATTAGAATATACCAGAAGTATACATAAACACATAATGTTATACCATTTAATTTTTCAAAAAAAGTATTTTGACGACAATTTTTATCAAAAACTATAAACTAAAAAACGTATAATAAAGAATTCCTATTATAAAAAACGATTTTAAAAATTCCTCATGTTGAAATAAAAAACTTTCATATTGTTTCTTTTTTTCTTTATTCTTATAGTTCTTAATCATACATAAAAAACCATTCTGTGGAGAACGATCATCAAATAAGAAAAATAATTATTTACAAACAAATTTTTTATTATGAAAATCATAACATTCACCTATTTTATAAATTCGCAGAATTCCAAATTAAATGTATACATATATATGCATAGATTATCCCTTCATTGCTTTTAGATGACATACCGCACATCAAAATTTTATAATTGTTAGATCTCGATATGAATTTGAATATGTAGCTTAAAAACAGAACAGCTGAATTCTAGTTGAAATTATTCTTTCAAAACTAAAAAATACTTACCAAGGAAACGATAAAAATGTATTAATAATCAGCACAAATGATACTATTTTAAGTAATTTAATGATTCTTTAGTGTTGTTTTCGAAATTATATAGATACAGAAATATATACTATTCAATAAAGAGGAATATTCTATAACTGCAGTTCTGTACGTTCTGAATTCACATTTATTCATTGGAATGACGAAAGCAATGTTGGCATCACTTTAATTTGTAATGAATTGAAGAGAGAGAAAAAATTATTTTACCTTAATACACACATCTGTAACAGCAAGTGATCTTGAAATCAGAAGTTATGTTGTTGGTAATAAAAAGGTAAAAATTATTGAGAAATTGTTCTTCAAATGCTTGGCGTGTTCTGCTTCGATGTTTGGCATGTTCTGGTTAGTTTTTTCAAGTTCCTCTACTTTTTCCTTAGGGAAATTTTGCTTCTTATTTGCCGCTAGGAAAATGGCGTCCGTCATTGCCAATGGTTATGCTGGAACTAATGCCCGATATTTTCAGGCTCCCGTTAGAGGGCGTACACGAGCGTTGCTATCGCGAATAGCCCATTGAACTACAACAACAGCAACAGCTATCTATCAGACCTCCACCCTAAACTACATCAATGGAAATACAGAGCTATAAGCTCGCCATAGTCTTTTAAAATCTACAATCAATCAATCAATAACCGCCACTGTTAGAACTCTACCTTAAACTGATGAAGACTTTCGCAACTTAATTAAAGAAGCGTTTATTGATATTATTTTTTATATGTATTTCACTTAATGGGCTATTTGGATTTAGAAGATTTATTCGTACTTGGGGACAAGATGTAATAAAACTCTTATTCTCAAATTTATAAGACTGCGTATCCAAAACCCTTATTAATGTGTGAATTGCACTCTTATAATTGTAAATCTATAGAAAGAGCTTTAAAAGGTTTATTTCCATGCAGATCATATTCATATGATATAGCTTCTTTATACTGAAAACAAAAATCGATGGAATGATAAAATAACATTTTCTTCGTGCTGACAGAAAATACAATTTCTGCTGTGCGTGCCTAAATATTAGAAGAACGTGTTTTCTTTTCGATTCATGTAATTAACAAACTTTTCATGCCTTATATGTAAATGCTTCCTGGCAGAAGGAGATATTATTGAAGGCAATATCTTTCTATGTTGACAGTAACATTCTTTGTTGTGACACTAATGGTAAAAAGTATGTGGGCAAAGTATGAGACATAGTTGCAATGAAGTTCTAAGAGAAAAATATCATAGAAATTTAATATTTGCTCTTTCCTTAAAAGTTTCCAAGTGCAGTTAATGATTGTTCTGAATAAAAAGTAGCAACAAGAAGTAAATTCAATTCATTTAAATGTTTTGTGATTGTAATATAGAAATAATTTATTTAATAAGGCATGATAAATTAATCATGAAGAATGGAATTAATTTGCAATAATCTAACTGACACTTTAGATGTACTTTTCCGTGAAGTGCATTATTCAAGAGTTGTAAATAGATTGTTATTGCAGTTGATTAAACTGTCTCTTACATTCATAAAGCACTTGTGATTTGATATTTATATACAAGTAATTGAGATTGTGACTTTCTTGTTAACACTGAGAGAATATTTTTTATATGCAGTTTGTGCAATTTAAAATTGTTAAATAAAATTAAATTTTCTTGACCTTCTCATATGTATGTTAATTTATAAGAACATGCATTTATCATGTATGATGAAACAGTGATACAAAAGTTAGCAATTTATTTTAATATATATCTATATTTGTAATGTCAAACTTTTTTAATCAGTAAAAGTATTAAAAAAATATTTTCTGACTTGAAAATATATGTTCTACCATATTCTTGCAATGTGTGTGTGAAATAAATTGTAAATGAAATCTAATTTGATAATTTCATGTTCATAATAGTAAATAGCATTATCAGGGGTCTGTCAAGACATTTTGTGAAAGGTCCTGTTTTTGTAAAATTCTGAAAAAACTACTCATAATTTGTGAATATAAAATATGCGTTAAGTCACATTCTTTCAGCCAGGGTCCTGCTTTTGTGAATTCGTGCAAATAGGGTCCTGTTATTGCTAAAAACTCTTTCAAGAAGTTTTTAAATGTGAAAAGATACAAGATTCTGCTCAACAATTGCTGCTACTAAATTAGAGATTCAACATATAAATATTTGGTATTTAGCCCATACTGCTCAACACAGAATATTCGTTTCAGACGAATAATAGAAATAAAATTACTCACATTTTTAATTGACGTATTTTAAATAATACAGCTTAGTAATGTATCTCTTTTAATGTGTTACACATTAAGTAAACTTAAACAATTCTTAAATTTATAATATTATATTTAAAAAATTGCCAGAAATTAAATTTTTATCTACATAATATCCTATTAATTAATTTTATGAATAAATATAAATTGATCAATTATTTGATTACAAAAAAAAATATCATTTAATATTAATAAGAATGTGCACCCGATGCTTGTAAAAGTAGAAATATTTTCTTAGAATACTACATTTGGAATTTAAACTTGGAAAACTTTCGTCCCCCCTCCCCCGAGAAGAGTTTATTGGATTAACAAATCAATAATGATGATAAACAAATTTGTGAAAGGTCTGATTAAACGATAAATTATTTTGAGAAGGGTCTGTTTACATGAAAAGATAGTTTGTGAAGAGTCTACTAAAGGACCCAAATTTCTTCTAAACTTTCTTCTATTGAAGAATGCATTCATTCATAGTGTATTAAATATAAAGGAATTTCCTACATAAAGAGGTTCATTGTTTCTGCATTTTTTGTGTAAAAAAAAAGTGAAATAATTTAATTTAGTTTTGTATGTATGTATGGTAATATAGAAATATTATTAAAGCTTATGAGAAAAAAATTTTGCATCTCAATATAATTTAAATTGATCCTTTCACAGTTGCTCCTATTAATAAATAATATTCTTGTTATAAAGTGATCATACTTCTGCAGTATTTCATTTCGCTTATTTAAAAATTTTTGATACAACATGATTATTTTGAATCATGTGTTATTGAAGTCCTCTTTATGCTATTAAATGCCTTTTGTAGTGAAAATTATTTTGAATTATTGCCTTCATTTTAATTAATGACTAATTATTTTTCCATTATCTAGTAATAGCTATTTGTTTCAAATAAAACCAAAAATTTTATTTTTAATAGAAAATCTATATTTTTTCTTATATTTATGCATTTCTATTTTAATGTCATTGCAAAGTGATTATATGTCTTCATTTCTTGCAGCATATTCATGATTGTTATTCTAGAGATCTTACTCAACTACACACAATTTATCTACACTTATTAAATTTTTTCTCAGAAAAGTAAATATATACTGTAAAAGTGTTTTTTATCCTGTGAGATGTGCACAGGATGTAATTCTTGTTTAATGTTATTCTTGTAATATATATAACTAGATTTTTTCAAAAAGAAGTAGTCTCACTAAACATTGTGAATTTCTTACTTGTGAGAAATCCTATTCTTGTAGCGTAAAAAGAGTACAATAAGAGTTTTTCACAGAGAGATCTCACTAAGCCCAATCGTGATAATATGGGTGAGAAACCTTATTCTTGCAGTATATGTAATAAGAGTTTTTCACGTAGAAGTCTACTGACTGAACATTATCGTGTTCATACAGGTGAAAAGCCTTATTCTTGTAGTATATGTTATAAGAGATTTTCATTAAAAGGTCATTTGACTCAACATACTCTTATTCATACTGGTGAGAAACCTTATTCTTGTAGTACATGTAATAAGAGTTTTAGACAAAGAGGTCAACTGACTGTACACAGTCGTATTCATACTGGTGAGAAACCTTATTCTTGTAGTGTATGCGATAAGAGTTTTACACAAAGAAGTCTATTGACTGAACACAGTCGTGTTCATACTGGTGAGAAACCTTATTCTTGTAGTACATGTAATAAGAGATTTTCAACAAGATCTAATTTGACTCTACATAGTCGTATTCATAGTGGTGAGAAACCTTATTCTTGTAGTGTATGCGATAAGAGTTTTACACAAAGAAGTCGATTGACTGAACACAGTCGTGTTCATACTGGTGAGAAGCCTTATTCTTGTAGTATATGTGATAAAAGATGTTCAACTAGTTCTAATTTGACTCAGCATAGTCGTGTTCATACAGGTGAGAAGCCTTATTCTTGTAGTATATGCAATAAGAGATTTTTAACTCGATCTTATTTGACTGAACATAGTCGTGTTCATACTGGTGAGAAGCCTTATTCTTGTAGTACATGTAATAAGAAATTTTCAACAAGATCTAGTTTGACTCTACATAGTCGCATTCATACTGGTGAGAAACCTTATTCTTGTAGTATATGTAATAAAAGTTTTTCTCAAAGCGGTCAATTGACTGAACACAGTCGTATTCATACTAGTGAGAAGCCTTATTCTTGTAGTACATGTAATAAGAGATTTTCAACAAGATCTAGTTTGACTCTACATAGTCGCATTCATACTAGTGAGAAGCCTTATTCTTGTAGTGTATGTAATAAGCGATTTTCAGATAGAAGTTATTTGACTCGACATAGTCGTCTTCATACTGGTGAGAAACCTTATTCTTGTAGTGTATGTAATCAGCGATTTTCAGATAGAGGTCATTTAACTCGACACCGTCGTCTGCATACTGATAAGTAACCAGTATGAAACTGGTGCATTCATTTTTGCAGCATAAGTAAAAAGTGACTGATTGAACATTTCTCAATGAGGAAACACTTTTTTTTTGCTTCCATTACAAGTAAAAAATTTCACAGAAGTGTCATTGGACTTAACACATTTGAATGAAGCTGAAATTTTTTTCTTCTTAAAATATTTTATAATGCAGTTTTCATTGTATTTTTCTGTTTTTACTCTTATTTAATGTCTGTAAAATAAGCTCCAGTATTGAAAAGGTGTGGATTAAAATTAAAATGCATTGTTGTAAACACATCTTAGTAGAAGTTGTAACCTTGGTCACTGGTTATAGATTGTTTTTTATTCTCTTAGCATGAGAATCCTGAGTTGTAGATAATATTTTTTAATATTAATAAAAAAAATTAAATAGCAACCTTTAATTAAAATTGCATGTAACATCTTTTATTTAATGAATGTTTTGAAGTAAATTTGGTTTAACTGCAAGTATGAAAGATATAGATAAAGTAATATTTGCTTCATAAAATCAATATCTTGTTCTTAAATCTAAATTTATATAAGTTTTCATCATTTTATAAATCTTATATTTATGTTATAGAAATATTAGTTTTTTTAAAATGATTACTATTGAAATAAATTTTATTAATCGCATTTGAAGGTCTATTATATTGTATAATTGTCTAATCGTCTATTGTATAATTTATGAAGCAATTGTATATTTTATGAACAAATTATTGTATTTTTTTTATTCTGTATATGGTATATGTTATTCTGTATATTGTATTATTCTGTTTATGGTTACAAGAAAATGCACGTCATTTAATATTAGACTTTGTATTATAACATAATGATCAAAAAGTAAGAAATAAACTTTCGAAAATATTTCATGATTCAATGTTCTGTGAAATTAAACAAATGTAATCTAAATATCTCTTGATCTGAAAGTTAGAGCAGGCAGCTTCTTTTAAAAAGTAAAATGTCTACATACAATGATGCGGTATTATACTAAACGATTCAAATTCAGCGACTTGCTCTGCTTGTGGATTTTTTATAATGCAGCAGCACTATGTAGTGATTAAAAATAATTTTAATTCTTTTTTTTTTTCGGAGGTGGTCTACCTTAAGAGCACTGCTCACCTTTGGGTTACCTACTTTAGTTAAAATCATAATATTATTTATAAAGGCATAAATAATTTTTGATTAAGTGATAGTAATAAAAGTAAAAAATTGGAAAAAAAAATTATGCAATGAATATGTTATGAAATTTTTCTAAAAAAGGAGTTTCTCACAATTTTTTACAAAAAAATTAGTAGGCTTTATTTTAAAATTCTAATGAACTTTTTAAATATTATAATAAATAATGTAATGTATTAATTATAAATCCCATATTGTATTCACCATTGTAAATAGCATACTAATTTTCCTATCATATGCTCTTAATTATGAATACTCAAATTTTTTTAGATAGTATACTAAAAATACTTATCAGCCGATATTTTGAATGCAGATGTCATTTTTTCATACCTAATAATAAAATAAGTTAATTATAATTCAGAAAATAAATCTAATAATTTTTTTATAGAGAATGTTTATTAACAGATAACTGAATTTTCAATTTCAAATTAATAATCAATTACATAAAGTTTTATGAAGCAGACTACTTTTAAAATGCATTTTCAATCATAGGCTATTTATTTTAAATAAAACTTGTAAGTTTTCAAAAATACATGTTTGATCAGAAGTTTTTTTTTTCTTTTNAGTAAATTATTTGATACAACATTATAATTTTGAATTATGTGCTGTTGAAGGCCACTTTATACTATTAAATGACTTACTTTTGTAGTGAAAATTATTTTGAATTATTGCCTTCATTTTAATTAATGGCTAATTATTTTTCCATTATCTAGTTATAGGTATTTGTTTCAAACAAAAAAGAAAATTTTTTATTTTGAATAGAAAATCTATATTTTTTCTTATATTTATGCATTTCTATTTTAATATCAGTGCAAAGTGGATATATGTCTTCATTTCTTGCAGCATATTCATGATTGTTATTCTAGAGATCTTACTCAACTACACACAATTTATCTACACTTATGATTAAATTTTTTCCCAGAAAATTAAATATATACTGTAAAAGTGTTTTTTATCCTGTAAGATGTGCACAGGATGTAATTCTTGTTGAATGTTATTCTTGTATAACTAGATTTTTTCAAAAAGAAGTAGTCTCACTAAACACTGTGAATTTCTTACTTGTGAGAAATACTATTCTTCTAGCGTAATAGGAGAATAATAAGAGTTTTTCACAGAGAGATCTCACTAAGCTCAATCGTGATAATATGGGTGAGAAGCTTTATTCTTGCAGTATATGTAATAAGAGTTTTTCACGTGGAAGTCTACTGACTGAACATTATCGTGTTCATACAGGTGAGAAACCTTATTCTTGTAGTGCATGTAATAAGAGTTTTAGACAAAGAGGTCAACTGACTGTACACAATCGTATTCATACTGGTGAAAAACCTTATTCTTGTAGTGTATGCGATAAGAGATTTTCATTAAAAGGTCATTTGACTCAACATAGTAGTGTTCATACAGGTGAGAGGCCATATTCTTGTAGTATATGTTCTAAGAGATTTTCATTAAAAGGTTATTTGACTGAACATAGTCGTGTTCATACTGGTGAGAAACCTTATTCTTGTAGTAAATGTAATACAGGATTTTCAACTAGATTTGGTTTGACTCAACATAGTCGTATTCATACTGGTGAGAAACCTTATTCTTGTAGTATATGTAATAAGAGATTTTCAACTCGATCTTATTTGACTGTACATAGTCGAGTTCATACTGGTGAGAAGCCTTATTCTTGTAGTAAATGTGATAAAAGATGTTCAACTAGAGCTAAATTGACTCAGCACAGTCGTGTTCATGCAGGTGAGAAGCCTTATTCTTGTAGTATATGCAATAAGAGATTTTCAACTCGATCTAATTTGACTGAACATAGCCGTGTTCATACTGGTGAGAAACCTTATTCTTGTAGTACATGTAATAAGAGATTTTCAACAAGATCTAGTTTGACTCTACATAGTCGTATTCATACTGGTGAGAAACCTTATTCTTGTAGTATATGTAATAAGAAATTTTCTCGAAGCGGTCAATTGACTAAACACAGTCGTATTCATACTAGTGAGAAGCCTTATTCTTGTGGTATATGTCATATGAGATTTTCAATAAAATGTTATTTGACTCGACATAGTCGTGTTCATACTGGTGAGAAGCCTTATTCTTGTAGTAAATGTCATAAGAGATTTTCATTTCGATTTTATTTGACTGTACATAGTCGAGTCCATACAGGTGAGAAGCCTTATTCTTGTATTATATGTCATAAGAGATTTTCACAAAAAGGTAGTTTGACTCGACATAGTCTTGTTCATACTGGTGAGAAGCCTTATTCTTGTAGTAAATGTAATAAGAGTGTTTCATGTAGAAGAGTACTGACTGAACATTATCGTATTCATACAGGTGAGATGCCTTATTCTTGTAGTATATGTAATAGGAGATTTTCAACTAGGTCTAATTTGACTAAACATAGTCATGTTCATATTGGTGAGAAACCTTATTCTTGTAGTATATGTAATAAAAGATTTTCAAGTAGAGCTAATTTCATGCTACATAATCGTATTCATACTGGTGAGAAACCTTATTCTTGTAGTGTATGTAATAAGAGATTTTCAAATAGAGGTTATTTGACTCGTCATAGTCGTCTTCATACTGGTGAGAAACCTTATTCTTGTAGTGTATGTAATAAGAGATTTTCAGATAGAGGTCATTTAACTCGACACAGTCATCTTCATACTGATGAGTAACCAGTATGAAACTGGTGCATTCATTTTTGCAGCATATGTAAAAAGTGACTGACTGAACATTCCCAATGAAGAAACACTTTCTTTTTGCTTCCATTATAAGTAAGAAATTTCACAGAAGTGTCATTAAACTTAACACATTTTAATGAAGCTGAATTTTTTTTTCTTTTCAAAATATTTTATAATGCAGTTTTCATTGTATTTTTCTGTTTTTACTCTTATTTAATATCTGTAAAATAAGCTCCAGTATTGAAAAGTTGTGGATTAAAATTAAAATGCATTGTTGTAAACACATCTTAGTAGAAGTTGTAACCTTGGTAACTGGTTATAAATTGTTTTTTATTCTCTTAGCCTGAGAATCCTGAGTTGTAGATAATATTTTTTAATATTAGTTAAAAAAAAAAATTAAATAGCAGCCTTTAATTAAAATTGCATGTGACATCTTTTATTTAATGAATGTTTTGAAGTAAATTTGGTTTAACTGCAAGTATGAAACATATAGGTAAAGTAATATTTGTTTTAAAATATCAATATTTTGTTCTTAAATCTAAATTTATATAAGTTTTCATCATTTTATAAATCTTATATTTATGTTACTGAAATATTACTGTGCTGACATGACATCTTATATTTATGTTACAGAGATACGAGTTTTTTTTAAAATGATTACTATTGAAATAAATTTTATGAAACAATTGTATATTTTATGAACAAATTATTGTATTTTTTATATTCTGTATATGGTATATGTTATTCTGAATGTTGTATTATTCTGTTTATGGTTACAAGAAAATGCACTTCATTTAATATTAGACTTTGTATTGTAACATAATGATCAAAAAGTAAGAAATAAACTTTCGAAAATATTTCATGATTCAATGTTCTGTGAAATTAAGCAAATGTAATCTAAATATCTCTTGATCTGAAAATTAGAGCAGGCAGCTTCTTTTAAAAAGTAAAATATCTGCATACAATGATGCGGTATTATACTAAATGATTCAAATTCAGCGACTTGCTCTGCTTGTGGATTTTTTATAATGCAGCAGCACTATATAGCGATTAAAAATAATTTTGATTCTTTTTTTTTTTTTCGGAAGTGGTCTACCTTAAGAGCACTGATCACCTTTGGGTTACCTACCTTAGTTAAAATCATATTATTTATAAAGCATAAACAATTTTTGAATAAGTGATAGTAATAAAAGTAAAAATTGGGAATAAAAATTTATGCAATGAATATGCTATGAGATTTTTCTAAAAAAAGAGTTTCAATGTTTTACACAAAAAATTAGTAGTCTTTATATTAAAATTCTAATGAACTTTTTAAGTATAATAAAATAATATTCTGTATTATATTATAAATCCCATATTGTATTCTCCATTGCAAATAACATACTAATTTTCCTATCAAATGCTCTTAATTATGAATACTCAAAATTTTTAGATAGTATACTAAAGATACTTATTAGCTGATATTTTTAATTCAGATGTCATTTTTTATAACTAATAATTAAATAAGTTAATTATAATTCAAAAAATAAACCTAATAATTTTTTCTTAAAAATGTTTATTAATATATTACTGAATTTCAAATAAATAATCAATTACATTAAGTTTTATGAAACAAACTCTTTAAAAATTCGAACTGAAAATTATGCATATAGTCATGAACATTTTAAAATGCATTTTCAAATGTAAGCTTTTTTTTAAAAATAAAACTTGTAAGTTTTCAAAAATACATGTTAGATCAGAGAATTTTTTTCTTACATTTTACGGTATTTTTGATTTACTGATATTATAGGGTGATATGTCAGTTCTTGTTATTTTATTGTTAAATATTAGTTTTTTAAGGAAACGATTAATTTAAAACATACTTACCATCTGATATTTACAAGAAATTCAATAGCATAAAAAAAAGTTGCAATGAAAATTTAACTCATTTTAAAAAAATTAAAGTAATATTTATTTTTTTAGATAACTTTAAACAAAATATTCAATAAACTGAAAATAAAATACTAAGTACGCATAAGTTTTCTAGCTATAACTTTACACATTTATTTTGGAAAAGACGAATAACATAAGTTGAAAATAAAAAAATTTAATCGATTATATAGATATTAAAATTCGTAACTAGGGAGAACTTCCATTGCATGAGATTGCACGCAATTGTGATTCATACTTGAATATAATACAGGGTTCGTACAGACTCCTTATACTCCTTGGAAATAAAAAATTTTCCAAGGAGTACTTGGAACTACTTAGATTTCCAAATTAGTCCTTAGAAACTCCTTAGATTATTGTATTGCATAGATGAACTTACTAAGTCCGCTGATGAATTTGCTGTCCAAGCAGGGGAACGAAATGATGTGACTTAGCTGTCAAAATCCAATAGTTTAAGAAGAAAATTTTAAAAGAAAAAAAAATTGAATTGCAAGAGTTAGAGAAAAAAATAACAGCAAATAATTTTAATTTTACATGTTACAAGCAAACTTGATAATTTACTGTGATTTTTATTCTTATTTTTTTTTGTATAAAATGCCTTAGATTTTTTTTGTGTATTCAAATTTAAAAATATAAGATTATTAGGTTTTTATGTTAATCTTTAACATCTGTACTATGTACTTTAACAAGATTTATTACAATATTTGAAACTGAAAAATGTATTTATGCGTAAAAGTGATAACTCTATTTATTTTTCTTGATGAAGTTTGACAAAGTCAAAATTTATTCCAAAAGGGTTAGAGAAAAAATATGCAAAATGTACATTTTTGCAATACATAAATCCTCATAATAACTGCTTTTTAATTTTAAAAAAAAAAAAAACTATAGTTATCTTTAACGCAAAGTTTTTAAATTTTTGATAAGTCCTTAAAATTTTGGACTCCTTGGATGTCTTCTTCTGATCTCTGTATGAACCCTGATATAATATCTATTTTTTAAACCTACATATGTATGCTTAGGGCAATAGGATTCAATGCGAATGACCCTTGAAGCCAAAACAAGTAATAAGGCCCCTGAATTATCTATAAATGTTAGTAAAATGTGAAAGAAAAAGAAATTTAAATGCTTTTAACAGACATCCTAAATATGACTGGATCATTCAAATTTTAAAGAATAGAAATACAACTAGATTCGACTTTTATATACGTTACACCAATTGGTGGAATAAAAAAATGTTTTAGACCTAAACGCATATTTTTTTGAACAAAAAGATGTAAATAATAAAAATATGATCAAAAGTCGTAATTCATCAGCTGCCATCAACAATAAAACGTATCTTTAAACGAAAAAAGTGTCAATTTTCGTTAGGGCAACGTAGCAAACAGCAACCATTTTTATTATATTTTTATTTACATCTTTTTGATATATTGGATAATATCTATACATATATAGCCGATCACTGGTCTAGTGATGTTACTGTACTGGACTATAGGGCCAGTGGTTGTGGGTTCGAATCCCACCGTAGGTGTGGATGTAACTTTAACTCGCTCAAACCCGTCCTGCAAACGGGTTCGTGGTTGTATGACGTGGGCAACGCCACTCCACCCCCGTGGCTTAGTCACGGGCGCCTACTGGGTAAAGAAACGATAGTAGCAATTCTGGCATTTCTTAGGCCAATGGCAAGTGCCCGCCATTAAATAAATATATATTGTACCAAGCACAGAAGTTTGAGTGGGTTGGAGATGAATAAAACAGTCCTTAAGACCCCAGAAATTTATTGGTAGAATTTTCCAGAAAATATAGCAATTTTCAGCATGAATAACTGGCTAGTATACAACAAATCACAGACCTTGAAATTTCAGACGGTTCACTAGAGACTCGCAAATCAGAACAATCACAAACAGACTAATGTTCTCCGATACTATAAAGCACACTCTTATTTATATAGGCTTGGAGAGGCAGCCCTCGGAATTTTTGACGTGATTCTAGAGATTTCTCGTATAACTCGCGCAAAAATTAGTTTTATCGCTTCAAAACACGAATTTTCTAGAACTATAATTTTGTCGACAAGTTGGCAAAAAAGTCGCGACTTTTTTTAAAATAAATTTTGCAATTAAACTGTTTATTTAAGATCTGAGATGTTTAGCTTAATGACAAAAGGATATTTGCAAAATAATACACATTTTTTACAAATTTGTAATATTGCCCTTCATTCAAGGATGGCACGTCCCGGGTAGTACAATCCCCGCAAGGGAGACAAAAATAATACAATACTAAACAACATTATGAAGTTTAAGCTTATATAAAACATACAAATTATGAAAAGTAACATCACATAACACTACAAAGATAAAATTACTAAATGCACTTTAGAAATATGAAACAATTTAGCATTATTTCCAATTAAAAAAACCATAAATTTACTACATCTGCTCCAAATGCTTTCTTTTTTTTTTTTAATTTTGCTATATCATATGGTAACCATGACAGAGATATACTTTCATCAAAGTCTTAATTTTATATTAAATCCATTTTTTGATGTTATAAAACCTTCAAAATACAAATTTCAGTGTCTGACCTGTTAATTCCATAATACCTGACTTTCTGTATAATAATAATATATGTATATATAATAATAATCTGAATCAGAATATTTTTGTTTTATTTGATGGCCTATATCCTTAATAGCTTCTTTTAAATTTTTTTTCTTTGATAGTCAATATCAATAGAACTCTTTCGGCATTAAGATTGTTGTTTTTATAATCAATTAACATAAATGTCGCACGTTGTTTTTATCATCAGTTTTTAAATTCATCATATCCAATTTTAAAAGTTCTATAACTAATTTGTTTTTAATTTAGTTTACGTAAAATAATAAAACTATAATATTTAGTCTAATTAAAAATTAATTTCGGTAAATTTTTTAGAATTTTAAAATTTATGTTCGAAAAACAAATTATTTCTTAAAAAGTAATTTCGAAAAGCTGAAAATATGGAAAAATGAATATTAAGTATGCATCATAGAAAGAAAAAAATTTCTTTTAAGATTTCGACTGAAAGAGAAAAAACGAAGTCCATGGGCAAAGAAAAAATCGGGAGCTATCATCGATTTTAAAGTTAATACATTCAGTGTAAATTTCTCTTCTAATAATAAGTTTTCTGGATCTCTCAAAATGAAATTCCTCGCCTTAAGATCCAAATATTCATACGATTTTCTGACAATTTTGTGGAATCTCAACTAAAATTATTAATTATAACAATAGTTCATTTCGAAGAAGCAAACAAAAATTCATAGTCGACATTGACACCCGATTCTTAAAAAAAAATGTTTAAAATATTGTTCAATTTTATAAAGAATCATTGAAATAATTGAATATCCATTTAGTAGTGATTTATATTTAGTTTTTCTTTTGCATCAAATTTTTTACAAAAAGTGATAAAAGCAAAGATTAAAGAAAGCTATTGCCTTTTCACATTATAATTGGTCAGTTAAAAGTGAAAATTTACGGATTAGTCTTATTTTTTGTTTTATTGTAAATATTTTTTTTTTTTAGATTTTATTTTCATCGGAATTTAGCTTTTACGTTGTTTATGTTAAGGATATTTTTGTTAATGGTTTTCTCTGTATTTTGTTAGAATAATTTAAATTCTTTAAATATATTTCATTCAGTTTATACTTTCAATTTTTTAAATATTTCAAAAGTATATAACATAATTTCTCAATATCATCAGGTTTTTCAAAAGATTTTTTTAAATTTTCATTAGTCTTTCTCGTTATCCAGCTTCCCAATTTTATTTCGAATAGCTATAATTCAAAAAATAATATTACACTTTTAAGTAAAAAAAAGAAACATCATTTTCACGAATGACTGAATTTCTGAAGGAGCGAAGCACATTATTCACTCTTCAGTTAAATTTCAGAGCTAAATAAAGTGAACCAGATGGCGTATTCGAGTGTGTAAGCTCTTGTAAGGTGACATATCACGAAAAATCTTTTTCAGCTTTTTAGTTGATGAAATATCATCCTCATTTGCTGGTACCATTATAAATTCTATTTCAAAAAAACCACTCATAATATATCTTTCCTCATCTGTAGAAAAAACAGTATCCTCTTTTTCAAGCCCGCAACGGCAAATCATTCCATTTGGAGCATTTTCTTTCAGATGGAAAGCTTTGTAAACAAGCAAGAAATCGCGATAGCCCACGCTTGTGGTACCCATTATATAAATGAATTTCCAAATGAAAAGAAATTTTAAACACTCTTCGAAATTTCAATTTGGCACTACTTTTACAATTGCGATAAATTTTTACTTTTTGTAAGAAGCCACCAGGTGACTGGAAACCCGTATTTCAAGTTTTAAGAAAGCCGTAATATTTGAACCGCATGAATGGAAATATGACTTTGGTGTGACATTGACAGTGTGTTCTATTCTTGGAAAGAAACTATTGCCTTCAAGATATGAAATGAATGGTCAGATCTACCCTCCCCCCCCCTCAAATTACTAGTAAATAAATCTGCCTCTAGATTTCACCCCTCACATTACCTCCTGGGGTTAATTACAGCTTCAATAATCACACCTTGTCCGAGTGTAGATGCTCTTAAGGGGTTGCTCGGTTAGATCAGCTATAGCTCTCATTTCTCGTATTTTAATGTGACTTCTAATTTATGGGTATTGATGATACGAGATACATTTTAAGAAACACGTGGAAATCCGACGATAACCTCTGAAAAAGCAATCGAAAAGTCACTTGGATTGACTGTGAATTAGACTAAAATAAACCGCTTATTAAAAGTAGATAAAATTTCAAAATTTAAGGCTAAAAGTTGATTAGTTAAAAAATTTACGATGACATGCTCTATGTTGGTTCATGACTGGAGTCAGTTGATCTGGGGCTAAAATGACCTCGAGGGTTTGCTTAATAATTTGAGTCACAATTTTCCTGCAGGTCAATATGGCAAAGAATTGGTGTTCCTCTTCGCAGTTATTCATGTGGGTTCCACGAAGTACCCGGAATCTTGGACAGTGCTTAATTAGATGTTTAATGTCCTGTCTCACTCCACAGTAATTGCATGAAGCTGATTTTCTGAAATAACCGCTTGTTAAAAATAAAATTATTACTAAAATTTGAAAATTCACGCATCATAATTCTGCCGTATTAAAATTCTCGGGTTTTTTTAAATCTTTGGAAATTCGTAGTGATAACCACCGAAAAAAACGATCAGAAAACCACATTGATTGAAATTTGGCGCTTTTAAAAATTTAATGCGTAACTCAAAATTTATGATTTTTTTCCCCTCTAGAAATTATAATAGCTTTTTTTTTTTTTTTTGTGCTCGGGAAAGATATTTTAATCTCTGTGAACAAGCAAAGGATGTTCAGTCTCCAACCCCAAAGTATTCAGATTTTTCTTGCCCCTGCAGAACAATTCTAAGAAAAGGTAATTCCCTTTTACTCCATACATTCGTCACATTTCACTACCATTCATATTATATATATATATATATATATGTTTCAACTATAGATACAATAACCTTTCAACTTAAAAAATTTCGTTAAAACTAATGTTTTTAATAATTTGTTTTGTATTAATTATTATTCAGATTATCATTTCTTCATCATACATTGTGATATATTAGCAGAATACTCTTAGTATCTAATTTTCATGTTTATTTTTTCATCCTCATTAAAAGTTAGTAAATTTCTTCTTCAAGTCATCTTCATCTTTATTAAATATTTATTTATTATTATTTTTTTCCAATTTGATAGTCTAAAACATTCAATTTGAATACCAATGATTTCAAAAATTACTTTTCATTTTTGAATTAGAAGAAGTATTTGAGCGCTTTTAATGTTTTAATATGAGTTTTAGTTAAATTTTCAATTACTTAGAAAAAATGCTCAATATTATAAATTACTCAAAAAAAATTTTTTCATTCAAAGTATTTTTATCACTATAATTCTTAGTTCTAATGTTTAATACATTAATTTTTTAAAAAAATATTCAGATTAACTTAAATTATTTTCTGATTTGTTTTCAATAGTTATTTTAGATTAATACTATTAATTAATTAAAATTTTCAATGAAATCTTTGAATAAAAGCAATATTGTTTCGATTATTTAACTGTTTTTTTCAATTTTTTTTTATCGATAATACTGATCAGTAATATTCCATAAAAATATTTTAATTCCCAATGCAGTTGTAAAATACATCATATGCACATGTCAAAATGCATATTTTGACAATTTTAACATTTCTTTTCATTTAAGTTTTAAATCTCCCCTTCAATTTACTATTTAATATATATATATATATATCAGTGAAAAAGAAACAAATATTTTTTTTCAATAGTACATTGTAATAAACATATATAAAGTAAAATTATTGTTTGCTATTTGATATCTCTTCTCTGCTACTATCTTTCCTATTTCGGGAGAAATTTTTTTGGCCGAGACTACTTTCAAAATTGAACCAACATGAGCGTTATTAATACGGTTTCGNCACTTTTTAAAATATTTGTTTTAACTCTCAAAATAAAATGTAAGATTATTATAAATAACTTTGTCTTAATGTAAGCTTTAAATGGAACAATTTGATACAAAATTAATCTAAGCTTAAAATTTAAGATTTTCAAAAACTGTAATTAGTTTTCGAAATCATATTTTAATCAGAAATTTTTCTCTGTCTTTCGATCATCACTTACTATGACAATGATTTCGTTTTTTTATGATGTAGAAGAATATCATCCGCAAAATATAACCTTAATTTTGATTTAAATGTCTGTGACTTCAAAAATTATGTATTATTTATTAACTTAATTTAAATTTTGCACCGAAATATTATAAACTATTGTTGATTTAAAAATATTTTGGTACTTATTAATGAAATTTAAGGGTACTATATCTAACATTAGTTTCACTATATTACAATAGATGGCGCCACTAAGGTATTCTTACTTCAAAATTTGACCTTTAATAGACGGGAGTGCAATCAATCAATCAATTACCGCCACTGTTAGAATTCTATACTGAAAACAGTGAGTGAATTGCACCAATATAATTGAAAATCTATACAAAGAGCTCTAAAACAGTTATTTCTATGCAGATCGCATTCATATAACATTATCTTCTTCATTCTGAGAACAGAAATAAATGGACTGATAAAATAACACTTTCTTCCTGCTGTCAGTAACTAAAATTACTTCTGTGCATGCCTAAATATTAAAAAAAAACGTGTTTTCTGTTCAATTTCATGTAATTAATAATCTGTTCATGCCGTGTGTGTTATACGCTTTCTGGCAGAAGGAGATATTATTATTGAAGGCAATATACTGCCTTGACAATAACATTCTATATTGTGTCACTAAAGTGTGACACATTACTGTTTATTTTTGCGAGAAGTTTTTCTAATAACATATAACATTCATTTTGCAGTGTGTCTAAGAATGCACTCATTCAATAATGTATTAAATGTAAGGTAATTTTCTACATAACTATGTTCATTGTTTTAGCAGTTTTTTTTGTAAAAAAACAAAAGTTGAATAATTTAATTTAGTTTTGTATGTATGTTAAAATAGAAATATTATAAAAGTTTGTGGGGAAAAAATTTTGCATCTCAATATAATTTAAATTGATCCTTTCTCTGACACACCTATTAATAAATCATATTCTTGTTATAAAGTTATCATATTTCCACCATATTTTATTTTGCTTATTTAAAAAATGTAGTCATAGTAAAAGATTTGATACAACATGATCATTTTGAATTATGTGTTATTGAAGGCCTCTTTATGCTATTAAATGACTTACTTTTGTAGTGAAAATTATTTTGAATTATTGCCTTCATTTTTTTAATGACTAATTATTTTTCCATTATCTAGTAATAGCTATTTGTTTCAAATAAAAACCAAAAATTTTATTTTGAATAGAAAATTTATATTTTTTCTTATATTTCTGTATTTTTATTTTAAATCATTGCAAAGTGAATATATGTCTTCATTTCTTGCAGCATATTCATGATTGTTATTCTAGAGATCTTACTCAACTACACACAATTTATCTACACTTATGATTTAATTTTTTCTCAGAAAAGTAAACATATACTGTAAAAGTGTTTTTCATCCTGTAAGATAATTTTTTCAAAAAGAAGTAATCTCACTAAACACTGCAAATTTAATACTGGTGAGAAATCCTATTCTTGTAGCATAAGAAGAGTATAATAAGAATTTTTCACAAAGAGATCTAACTAGGCACAATCGTGTTAATATGGGTGAGAAGCTTTATTCTTGTATATGTAATAAGAGTTTTTCCTGTAGAAGTCTACTGGCAGTACATTACCGTGTTCATACAGGTGAGAAGCCTTATTGTTGTAGTGTATGTAATGCGAATTTTACACAAAGAAGTAATTTGACTCAACATAGTCATGTTCATACAGGTGTGAAGCTTTATTCATGTACTATATGTAGTAAGAGATTTTCATCAAAACATGATTTGACTCAACATACTCGTGTTCATACTGGTGAGAAACCGTATTCTTGTAGTGTGTGTAATAAGAGTTTTGCGCGAAAAGGTCAATTGACTGCACATAGTCGTGTTCATACAAGTGAGAAGCCTTATTCTTGTAGTATATGTTATAAGAGATTTTCATTTAAAGGTTATTTGGCTCAACATAGACGTGTTCATACTGGTGAGAAACCTTTTTCATGTAGTACATGTGATAAGAGATTTTTAAGTAGAGCTTATTTGACGCTTCACAATCGTGTTCATACTGGTGAGAAACCTTATTCTTGTAGTGTATGTAATAAGAGTTTTGCAACAAAAGGTAAATTGACTGAACACAGTCGTGTTCATACAGGTGAGAAGCCTTATTCTTGTAGTATATGTTATAAGAGATTTTCTGTAAAAAGTAATTTGACTAAACATAGTCGTGTTCATACTGGTGAGAAACTCTTTTCTTGTAGTAAATGTAATAATAGATTTTCAAGTAGAGCTTATTTGACGCTTCATGATCGTGTTCATACTGGTGAGAAACCTTATTCTTGTAGTGTATGTAATAAGAGTTTTGCACAAAAAGGTAAATTGACTGCACACAGTCGTATTCATACAAGTGAGAAGCCTTATTCTTGTAGTATATGTTATAGGAGATTTTCACAAAAAGGTAATTTGACTCGACATAGTCGTGTTCATACTGGTGAGAAACCTTTTTCTTGTAGTAAATGTAATAAGAGTTTTTCTGAAAGAGAGAGTCTATTTANTTTGACGCTACATAGTCGAGTTCATACCGGTGAGAAACCTTATTCTTGTAGTATATGTAGTAAGAGTTTTTCTCAGAGAGAGAGTCTATTTAGGCACATTCGAGTTCATACCAATGAGAAACCTTTTTCTTGTAGTAAATGTAATAAGAGTTTTTCTGAAAGAGAGAGTCTATTTAAGCACATTCGAGTTCATACCGGTGAGAAACCTTATTCTTGTAGTATATGTAGTAAGAGTTTTGCTCGAAGAGCGTGTCTATGTAAGCATATTCGAGTTCATACCGGTGAGAAACCTTATTCTTGTAGTATATGTAATAAGAGTTTCAGACAAGGAAGTCAATTGACTCAACACAGTCTTGTTCATACAAGTGAGAAGCCTTATTCTTGTAGTATATGTTATAAGAGATTTTCAACAAAGGGTACTTTGACTCGACATATTTTTGTTCATACAGGTGAGACGCCTTATTCTTGTAATATATGTAATAAGAAATTTTCAGGTAGAGGTAATTTGACTCGACATAGTCGTCTTCATACTGGCGAGAAACCTTATTCTTGTAGTATATGTAATAAGAGTTTTTCAAAAATAGTTCTTCTAAATAAGCACATTTGTGTTCATACTAGTGAAAAACCTTTTTCATGTAATATATGTAATAAGACTTTTTCAAGAAAGGATTACCTAACTCATCATATTCATGTTCACATTGTTTAGGAACCATATTCTTGTATACAAAAAAAAAGTTTTTTTTTTCTACTTACATTCTAATGATATGTTTCAAAAAAGTTTTTTTTCTTTCAAAAGACTGACTTAAATGCTTGTGTTTGCACTGGTGTGAAAAAGTTTTTTGTTGTTCAATAACGTAATAAGAGTTCTTCTCAGAAATGTCATCTGACTAAATACTGTGTTGTTCCTACTAGCGACAAAGCATATCTTTGAAGTATGTGATGAAGTAGGTTTTTTTTTTTTAAATTATGGTGATCTGAATTTTTACACTCGTGTTCTTACTGGTTGAGAAACCATATTCTTGTAGCGTCTGTAATAAATCTTTCTTAACAAGAGCTAATCAAACCGTTTTGTTGACCCTGCTAAGAAACCTAATTCTTGTCGCAGATGTCAAAAGAATCTTTCTTATAGCATTCTGATTCATACTGGTGCATTCATTTTTACAGCATATGTAAAAAGTAACTGACTGAACACAGACCATTTCTCACTGAGGAAAAATTTTCTTCTTGATTCCATTATAAGTAAAAAAAAAATCACGGAAGTGTCATTAGACTTAACACAATTTAATAAAGCTAAAATGTTTTTTTCTTTTTAAAATATTTTATAATGCAGTTTTCATTGTATTTTTCTGTTTTTACACTTATGTATTGCCTGTAAATAAGCTCCAGTATTGAAAAGTTGTGGATTAAAATGCATTGTTGTAAATACATCTTAGTAGAAGTTGTAACCTTGGTTACTGGTTATAAATTGTCCTTTATTCTCTCCATTAAAATCCTGAGTTGTAAGTAATATTTTTTAATAATAATAATAATAAAGCTTAAATAGCAGCCTTTAATTAAAATTACATGTAACATCTTTTATTTGATGAATGTTTTGAAATAAATAAATTTGGTTTAATTGCAAGTATGAAACAAATGGATGAAGTAATATTTGCTTCTTAAAATCAATTTCTTGTGCTTCAATCTAAATAAGTTTTCCTCATTTTATCAATCTTAAATTTATGTTACAGAAATATAACTGTACTGAATATTATGACAGTTTTTTAAATGATTACTTGATATAAATTTTGTTAATCACATTTGAATGTCTTAGATTGTATAATTTATGAAACTTTTAAAAAAGAACACAAAAGATAACTCAAACTATTAAAAAATCGAAATTCGTTAATTAGTAAGGTTTTGTTTAAATTCTAAAAACTGTATTTTGCTAATTGATTATGCTAAATAATAAAATGTTAAAATAATTTTAATGTGTCATTTGTAATTACTTTCACGAAATAATTTCATGAAATAATTTTCTCGTTATGAGATGTTTATATATGTAAGTGTACGGGTGAGATATTTATTTACTATAGTCCTTTTCTTATAAAGGTTCAGTGAAATTTAAATGTCTTACACAAATTATTGTATTTTATTATTCTGTATATGGTATATGTTATTCTGTATATGTTCATTTAATATTAGACTTTGTATAACAACATAATAGTTAAAAAGTAAGAAATAAACTTTCAAAAATATTTCATAATTCAATGTTCTTTGAAATTAAACACATGTAATCTAAATATCTACTTACCTGAAAATTAGAGTAGGAAGCTTCTTTTAAAAAGTAAAATGTCTGCATACAATGGTGCCGTATTATACTAAACGATTCAAATTCAATGACTTGATTCAAATTCAATTGCTCTGCTTATGGATTATTTATAATGCAGTAGCACTATATAGTGATTGAAAATAATATTGATTCTTTTTTTTTGGAGGTGGTCTACCTTAAGAGCACTGCTCACCTTTGGATTACCTACTTTAGTTAAAATCTTAATATTATTTATAAAGCATAAATAATTTTTGAATAAGTGATAGTAATAAAAGTAAAAATTTGGAATAAAAATTAATGCAATGAATATGTTATGAAATTTTCTAAAAAAGGTGTTTCAATGTTTTACACAAAAAATTAGTAGGAGGCTTTATTTTAAAATTCTAATGAGCTTTTTAAATATTATAATAAAATAATATACTGTATTATTGAAAATTATGCATGTAGTCATGAACAATTTAAAATGCATTTTCAAATTTAGTTGTTTTTTTTTTTTTTTTTTTTTTTTTTTTTTAAATAAAACTTGTAAGTTTTCAAAAATACATGTTAGATCATAGGATTTTTTTTTCTTCTTTCATTTTTGATTTACTGATATTATAGGGTTATATGTTAGTTCTTGTTATTTTATTGTTGAATATTAGTTTTTTAAGGAAACGATTAATTTAAAACAAACTTACCATCTGAAATTTACAAAAAATACATTAGCATAAAAAAAAAATTGCAATGAAAATTGAACTCATTAAAAAAATTAACGAAGTAATATTTATTTTTTTAGATAACTTATCTTTAAACAAAATATTCAATAAACTGAAAATAAAATACTAAGTACACATAACTTTTCCAGCTTTAAGTTTGCACATTTATTTTGGAAAAGACGGATAACATAAATTGAAAATCAAAATAACGTTTAATCGATTATTAGATATTGAAATTCGTAACGAGGGTGAACTTCCACTGCATGTAATTGCGATTCATGCTTGAATATTATATCTATTTTTTAAGCCTACATATGCATGCTTAGGGCCCTTAAAGCCAGTAATATGGCCCCTGTGAATTATCTATAAATATTAATAAAATGTGAAAGACAAAAATATGAATACTTTTACAGACATCCTAAATATGACTGGATCATTCAAATTTTAAAGAATAGAAATACAACTGAATTGGACTTTTATATACATTACATTCATTGATGAATAAAAAAATGTTTTAGACCTAAATAAATACATATGTAAACAAAAAGATATAAATAATAAAAATATATTAAAAAGTGGCGTAATTCATCGGCTGCTGTCAACAATAAAACGTATCTTTAAAGTGAAAAAGTGTCAGTTTTCGTTATGACAACAATTTTTATTATATTTTTATTTATATCTTTAATACTATATTGTATTATATATATATATATATATATACATCACATGGTGCATAGCGTTTTTAAAAAGTGCTTAAAGGTGTTTATTTTCAATTTTTGTTTTTTAAAAGCCCTTAAAGGTGCTCTTTTTATTAGGTGTTTTTAAAAAGTGCTCAATTATCTTTTCGGAAATGAGATTTGTTTCTTTACCGTGTCGATTTTCGCCTCGTATTATACAAAAGCGTGCTTTTCATGTTATTTTATCATCAGTTTTCAAATTCATCATATCCAATTTTAAAAGTTATATAACTTATTTGTTTTTAATTTAGTTTACGTAAAATAATAAAACTATAATATTTAGTCCAATTAAAAATTAATCTCCGTAAATTTCTTGGAATTTTAAAATGTATGTGTAAAAAACTAGTTATTTCTTTAAAAATAATTTCGGAAAGCTAAAAATATGCAAAAATGAATATAGAAGTATGCATCAAAGATAAATATGAGATAATTTCTTTTAAGATTTCGACTGAAAGAGAAAAAAAGAAGTCCCTGGGCAAAGTGGAAATCGGGAGCCATCATCGAGTTTAGAGTTAACACATTCAGTGTAAATTTCTCTTCTAATAATAAGTTTTCTGGATCGCTCAAAATGAAAACCCTCGCCTTAAGATCCAAATATTCATGCGATTTCCTGACAATTTTGTATTAAATCTCAACTAAAATTATTAATTTTAGCAATAGTTCATTTCGAAGAAGCAAACAAAAATTCATTGTCGACATTGACACCCAATCCATTAAAAAAAAGTTTAAAATATTGTTCAATTTTATAAAGAATTATTCAAATAATTGAATATCCAGTTGGTAGTGATTTAGATTTAGTTTTTCTTTTGCATCACATTTTTTTACTAAAGGGATAAAAACAAAGATAAAAGAGCGCTATTGCCTTTTCACATTCTAGTTAGTCAGTTAAAAGTGAAAATTTGCTGAACATGTACAGAAACGGCTAAACCGTGCCAAATACAAATTATTATTTCGTTCAAACATGCACGTTAGAGAGGTTAAGCTCTTTCGTGTAATATCTCGCACGGTCACTCATTTTTAATTTGTGATTCAGGTATTTGTGTGTGCAGGTACTTCAAATATTTGAAGAACCTGCAAATATTTGAAGTACTTCAAATTTTATATTAATATTTTCAGCATTAAAATCTCCCCCCGAAAAATTTCAAAGTTATTCTCTTGTATTCAATACAGTAGGGAACCGATTATCCGGAACCATCGCTATTCCGGATAACTGATTTTTCCGGTTTTCTGAATCGATGCAAAAATCCGTTGTTTTTTTTTATTGTTTAACCCAACTAAAAAAAAGAAAATAGTTGGAAATAATCTTAAAAAGAAGAAAAAACGATTAAGTGATACACTAATGATTATTTCCAAAATGATGGTAAGGTAAACATCTTTCAAAAAAGAAAGAAAAATCCTAAAATCTTATGAGGAAAAAAACATTTTTTTTAAAAAAATGGCGTGAAAATTTATTGAATTTCGTTCCGGTGTTTTGGTTTTCCGGTTTTCTGATTTCCGGATAACGGGTTCTGTACTGTACTTGCATACAAATTTTATAATACAACAGTATAAATACAAATAATATTCTCTTGTATGCAAATTTCTTTTCTGGAAAGCATCGTTCATATTCTATGCGTTGAAAATGGTCTTTTTTTTTTGCCTTGAAAGCTCAGATTTAGTTTATTTATAAGTGAAAATAAGTCATATATGTAAAAAGGCTTAGCTACCCATTCATTTTTTAATAAAGGGTTTACCTTATATAAATTCCTTCTGCAGACCCGTAACGCTGTTTGATGTTTTTAATCCCGTCTCCCTTAATATTAAACTATTAGATTTTGATTAAGTAATTGTTTTCCCTTTTTTTTGACAATATGAGAGTTCTAATGTATACATTTTCTTTCAATTTTATTTTAAACAATGGTTCCTTATATATATATACCATCCATGAAAAGTATAAAATTAACTATGAATAATGCTACTAATTTTATTGAGACCTTCTCAATCCTTTCTACGACATTACCTTTGCCTTCAGTAACGAGCCACCTTACTTAAAGGTAATTCAAATTATATTTAGCTTTAAGTCGCGTAGCATTTAAACATTAAATGTTCCGACTTAGCGTCATCTTCTTTTTTCTTTTCATTTTAGTGTTATGTTTTTCTTCGTTGCTCTTGGGATACAATATCGTGGATGGCAATTCGCCTATTACCTAGCCATGCGTTCGATAAAACAAAAGTCTGATGCTGTACAATGCAACATTGCAAATTGTTAATTCTTTGGCACACTTCTCCACGTGTGTTTCTTTTAGCCTAAGGCGACTGTTTAATCTTCTTTGTTTGGTTACTTCTAAAGCAAGGCCGATTATCATACTTTAACTCATCTTGTATTCCACCTGGTTTCATCTAACGTCTTTTTTCCAAGCGAAGGCCACTAATGACGCTAGGTATGACGTAGAATGCATTAAATGACGCGCTTATGCATGATGCCAACTTAACAACTGGCGCCGGTCAAATAATGTCAGTTAAATATTAATTAAAAAGATTTTTGTTTGTATGCATTTTTTTTCTCTATAGATAATTGAGATTGGCGTGCATCTTGAACAATCTATTTTTAAAAGTTTTCTGCCGGTAGTTAATTAAGCATTGCATAATGATATATAGTGCGTTTTATAATGAAATAAATAGACCCAATCTATTTTTAACGGAGACAAAACAATTTCTAACAGACGGCTCAATACATTTTTGTCAAAAACGTGATAAAATATTTAATTTTCCCGATATAAAAATATATTGAATTTCTGTGGTTTGACACGGGAGAAGGTGTTTCATTATGCCCCCGAAACATTATAGTTGGCATTTTATATAGCATTGTTTGTGCTCGTTTCACATTGTTTTTATTCATATATTGCAATAAAGTAACCCTTTCATCACTAATGAAATAAATAAACCGTTCAGAGCCTTGGTGGCTCAATGGGTAGAGCACTCTCCTGTGATGAGGTGAACCTGGTTCGAATCCCAACGATGGCTGGTCGATACGAATTCCACACCCGACTCGCACTGACCACAGTGCTGACCTAAAATGTCCTCAGTGGTAGATAGAACATGGGTGAGAGTACCCTTGCCATCAGGCTAATTGTGGGAGGTTTTCGTGGTTTTTCTCTCCATGTAACGCAAATACAGGTCAGTTCCATCTAAAAGTCCTCCAAGAAGACAAAATTTCTCCCAATACTTGATCTCTTGCCTTCTCGGTTGACAGCGATAAAATAAAATGAAATAAATTTATAAGATGGGAAGAATTTGAAAACGAATTTAACAAATTTCGTTATAAAGATGCAAATTATGGGTTTGTCAATTTACTTTTAAATAAAATATTTAATGACAAAAGCTGAGCTGTAATTTTAATTTTGCTTCCAAACGGTACAATAAATCAATATTTTATTAATTTATTTTAGATTTTCACAAGCAAAACTTCTTTTAATTCTACAAATTTTTCATATCTTCATCAGGCACGTTGTTGACAATGTGC